AACAAAACTCATTCAAACAACAAAAACGTATTCAAAATAAAAACTATATGGACATTAAAGAATATTTAAAAAATGAAAAATAAAACATCTAAAAAACTAGAACTTTCAAATGAAAATGGAAACATATACAAAAAACTTCAAAATATGAATTAAAACTGTAATAGTATCTTAATGATAGTGAAATAATACTGTTTCAAATATGACTTTATCATCTGCAGCTTTCAATTATACCCCAAACACACACTGCAGAAGAAAGTACACGCATTATTACAGTTTATTTTCTCAAGTGCAAAGGGGGATATTGTAGAGGAGACCTAAAATTATGACAAAATAAAAGCTATGATCTTCCTGCTGGACAGTGATATAAAAGATAATAACCGTGCACGTCTGTCTGGTTATTAAAGTGCCAATGTGAGTACACAGGCTTTAGGATATAAGCATCAAACCTGAATATGTTTTTCCTCATTTCAAGCCATTTATGGACAGGGTCCCACATAAAACACAAACACACCTGAACCCGATGCCTTTTGAGTGATTGAAGGTCTAATTCTATCAGCACTGTTAAGACAACAACGGTTTGGTTTTTATTTTTGTGAATTATATGAAATGTGAAATCGTGAGATGATTGTAAGGTGATGTTTGTCTTCTCTCAGTGGACGTTACATTCCTTTCATACTCTTTGCAAAATGCTGGATATTATATATTATATGACACCATCATTTCTCAGTCCATTATATGATATGATATGCATATGACTTGGTTTTAATTTTCATTAGCTTGTTTTTCTACAGTTTTTACTGGAATCTGTTATCGATCACAAACACAGTGGACCAAACTGATTATGCTGTGAATCAAATTTTTTTTAATGTTGCCTAAAACACTGTTATCTTTAGCATTTCTTGATCCATTTTATTGTATTAAATGTTCTGACATCTATTACAGTGGTGATTATTATGTATGCATTCCCACATTTGTGTGGACGCTGTTGTTCTTCCTCTTTATGTTGTGTTTCCTTATTTGCCACAATTTTTTTTTACAAATTTGTAGCTCTCAATAAATGATTTCTGCCTTATTTAAGTTTATTTATTCCAAAATTTATACACACACATTCATAATGAAATTATACAAATAATATTTCTAATTAATTTATAATCTATCATATATAATTATATAAATAACTTTATATATAATAAATATACTAATTTACAGTATATTTGAATACACAAAAGTATGAGATCACTAGAGGAAACATTTATGTATTTCATTTTCTGATTAAATTCTGAGTAAAGTCGCATTAGCAATTTTATTATCAGCATATTATATTATTAATATATTAATAATCTTATATGTGTCTACAATGAAAATCTGTATCTTCAGATGCAGTAAGAGGTCGTAATACTTTAGGTTTTTCTTTTTATTCACCATTTGCTGTCCATTGAAGTCAGATATATAAAAATTACACATTCTATAAACATAAACGAGGTCTTGAAAACTTAATGTTAAAATGATACAACAGTTTTAGATGGAGTGGATCATGTCACTTTTTAGCACACTACCCGTTCACATGGTAGCCTATATTATATGCGACCTTGAACCACAAAACCAGTCATAAGGGTCAGTTTTTTTACATTAAGATTTATACATCATATGAAAGCTTTCCATCCAATAAATAAGCTTTCCATTGATGTATGGTCTGTTAGGATAGGACAATATTTGACTGAGAAACAAATATTTGAAAATCTGGAATCAGGGTGCAGAATTTTTTTTTTTTTGAGAAAATCGCCTTTAAAGTTGTTCAAATGAAGTGCTTAGCAATGTATATTACTAATCAAAAATTAAGTTTTAATATATTTACAGTAGGAAATGTACTAAATATCTTCATGGAACATGATCTTTACTTAATATCCTAATGATTTTTGGCATAAAAGAAAAATCGATAATTGTGACCCATACAATGTATTGTTGGCTATTGCTACAAATATCCCCCAGCGACTTAACACTGCTTTTGTGCTCCAGGGTCACATATTGCCTAGTCTCAGCCTCAGACGTCTCGCCCACAGTCACGGACCGTTGGCTGAACGTCTGATGCACATGGCACACAAAAGTGGAAACACTTCAGGAGTTTCGAAGTGGTCATCGGATTGGTTGAATTATACAGGATTTCCGGGAGACGTGTGTGTCGCGCTCTTTAACGTTCCGCCTGGAAACAAAGATGCCGTGAGACCAAACCCCCTCACCAAAGAAGAAAGCCGTCGTGTTTACAACTGTGACGATGAGTGCTTATCAGGATCAACTAAATGCTGGATTCTCAAAAGTATGTGAAATATTTCAAGTTCGCCGCATAGAATCTTTAAAAAACGTCTGAGAGTTTTACACACCGGTCTGTTATTGTGGCGACATTTCCACGCCCCGAAGCGTGACGCTGAAACTAAACGAACTGTGATTGGTTGTTTGACATG